TTGTATTTTTAGTAGAGACGGGGTTTCACCATGTTGACCAGGATGGTCTCGATCTCCTGACCTCGTGATCCACCCACCTTGGCCTCCCAAAGTGTTGGGATTACAGGCGTGAGCCACCGCGCCCAGCCCCTAATTTTTGTATTTTTAGTAGAAATGGGGTTCCACCACATTGGCCAGGCTGGTCTTCAACTCCTGACCTCAAGTGATCTACCTGTCTTTGCCTCCCAAAGTGCTGGGACTACAGGTATGAGCCACCACACCTGGCCTAGAAAACATCTTTAACTGAGTGAAAATGCGAACACAATGTGCTGAACTTGTGGGATGCAACTAAAGCAGTTCGTAGAGGGATATTTATTGCTTCAAATACTTAAAAAAAAAAAAAAAAGGGTTGGGCACAGCCTGTAATCCCAGCACTTGGGGAAGCTGAGGCAGATGGATCACGAGGTCAGGAGTTTGAAACCAGCCTGGCCAATATGGTGAAACCTCATCTCTCCTAAAAATACAAAAATTAGCTGGGTGTGATGGCACACACCTGTAGTTCCAGTTACCTGGGAGGCTGAGGCAGGAGAATCACTTGAACTCAGGAGGCAGAGGTTGCAGTGAGCCAAGATTATACCACTGCACACCAGCCTGGGTGACAGAGTGAGACTGTCTCAAAAAAATTAAATAAAAAAATACATTTAAAAAAATGAAGAAAGTTCTAAATCATAATCGAAGTTTCTACCATCTGAAGCTAGAAGTAGAGCAAATTAGATGTAAAGCAAGTAAAAGGAAGGAAATAATAAAAAGCAGAACAGAAATCAATGAAGTTGTAATGACAAAACAGTAGGGAAAATGAATGAGTCCAAAATCTGGTTCTTTGCAAAGATCAATAAAATGGATAAACCTAGATGACAGGAGCTCAGCTGAGCTGGAAGAGAGCTGCTTGACAAAAAAAGGAGAGATGGTACAAATTACCAATATCAGGAATGAAAGAGGAAACATCCATATTGATTCCTAAGCGAATAATATGGGTATATGCCCCAAAATTTGACAACTTAGATAAAATGGATAAATTTCTTGAAAGATACAAATTACTGAAACTGACTCAGGAAGAAATAGAAAATCTGAATATATGTATATCATGTAAGAAAATTGATTTAGTTATCAAACTTACATAATTGTTATGCTTCCAGAAAGAAACATTAAGAACTTTATGCCAACAAAGGTAACATTGTGGTGAACTCTGTGACACATTAAAGTTGTACCAATACTCTTGAACGCATTTCAGAAAGTGAAGAAGGAACACTTCTGAACTCAAGTTTGTGAGGCCAGTTTTATTTTGATAGTTGAACCAGTCATCATGAAAAAACTGCAAACCCATGTCTCTCATGAACATAGAAGCAAAAGCCTTCACAAAATATTAGCAATAGAAAGGATAATATACTGTAATCAAATGGGTATTTTTCTCTTAGACTTATTGAGGTATAATAAATATTTGAGTTACAATAAATATTGAGAACAAATAAAAATTATATATATTTATAGTATACAATGTGTAATGTTTTGATAACATGTATGCATTGCATATGAGTACCATAATTGGGCGCATTAACATATCCATCATCTCACGTAGTTGTCTCTTTTCTGATGAGAGCATTTAAGATCTACTCTGTTAGCAAATTTCAAGTATACAATACAGCATTATTAAATATAGTCACCATGCTGTATATTACCTCTGCAGAACTTATTCATCTTATAATGGAGTTTGTACCCTTTGGCCAACATTTCCGCATTTCTCCCAGACCCTGGCAACCACCGTTCAACTCTGCTTCTACTTTTTAAGATTCCAGTATAAGATCATGCAGTATTTGTCTCCCTGTGACTAGCTTATTTCGTTTAACATAATGTCCTTCAGGTTCATTTATGTTGTGGCAAATGACAGCCTTTCCTTCTTTTCTTAGGTTGAATAATATTTTCTATGTATAGAGTCATCCATTGCTACCTGTAAGGAATTTGTTCCAGGAAGCCCCACAGATACCAAAATCCTCAGATGTTCAAGTCCCTTACGTAAAATAGTGTAGTATTTGCTTATAACATATGCACACCCTCCAGTATATTTTAAATCATCTCTATTCTAGATTCTTTATAATACCTAATATAATATAGATGCTGTATAAATAGTTGTTATATTGTATTGCTTATTTGTATTTTATTGTTATTTTTGTTTTTTAAAAAATATTTTTGATGTATGGCTGGTTGAATACATGGATATGAAACCCATGAATATAGGAGGCTGTTTCTATATTCACTCATCCATCAATGGACATTTAGGTTGATTGATATCTTTGCTGTTGTAACTAATGCTGCATTGAACATGGATATGACCAATAGGTTTGACAACAAAAATCAGTTAATTTAATTTACCATATTAATTGAATAAATGAGGGGGGAACCATATAATTTCATTTGTCAAAGAAAAGCATTTAACAAAATTTAATATGCTTTCATGATAATAAACACTCTTAAAGCTAGGAATAGAAGGGAATTTTCTCAGCCTGATAAAGGAGATATAAAATATTCTCAGCTAACATCAAACTTAATAGTGAAAGACTGGAACAAGATAAGGAATAAGACAAGGATGCCTGATCTCACCACTTCTATTCAGTATTGTACCAGATTTTCTAGCAAAGCAGATAGGCAAGAAAAAAAAAGACATCAAGATTGGAAAGGAAGAGGTAAAACAGTCTCTGTTTGCAAATAAAATGATCTTACCTCTGGAACACCATAAGGAATCTTCAAAGAAACCTATCAGAGCTAATAAATAAGTTCAGCAAGGTTATAGGATACAAGATAGATGTACAAAAATTTCATTGTATTTCTATACACTAGCAATGAGCAATCTAAAATTAAGAAAATAATTCGATTTACAATAGGGGGAATGAAAATATTTTGGAATTAGATACTGGGAAGGTTTGCACAATTGCATTAATATACTGAAAACTACTGAATTGTATACATTAAAAGAGTAACATTTATGTTATGTGAATTATATCTAAAACTTTTTTTAGCTGTGTGAAAAAAAACTTGTATCCAGAATGTCTCAAAAATTTTAACTCAAATTTAAGAAAACAAACATGAAAGTGGGCAAAACACTTGAAAAGATACTTCTTAAGAGAATATATATGAATGGCGAACAAGTAGATGAAAAGATACTCAACATTCTTGTTCATTAGAGAAGTACTAATTAATTCACAAGTGATAATACCAAGTGTTGTCAAGGATTCAAGTCATAGAAGTGTTATTCATTACTGATAGTGAATAAGACTTCGAAATGGAATAGGCAATTTGGAAAAAGTTTGGCAGTTTATTTAAAAATATTAAGCATATGTTTACTGTACAACCCAGCAGTTCTGCTAAGTATCAGCCAGAAGAAATGAAAACATATGTCTACATTTAGACTTCTAAATGAATGCTCAAAATAGCCTAATTCATAGTCAAAACCTGGAAACAGCCATCAACAGGTGAATGAATGAACAAAATGTGGTACAACATGAACGAATCTCAAAATATTACGCTAAGTGAAAGAGGCCAGGTATAAAAGGCTACATCCTGTGTGATTTTATTTCCATGAAGTTTTTTAAAAAGCCAAAACTACAATGGTAGAAATCAGATCACTGGCTTCTTGGGTCCAGAGTAGAGACCAGGATTGACTACAAAGGAACATGAGCAAATTTTAGGGGATGATGGAATTGTTCTAAAACTGTATTGTGGTGGTGGTTGCATGACTATACATTTACCAGAATTCATTAAACGATACATAAAATGGTTGAATGTTATGGTATGTGAATTTATAGCTCAGTGAAGTTTTTAAAAAATGCCTTCTTTATTAAGCTATATAAATGGAATATTTATAACTTTATTTCTAGAGATTTAAAAATTAACATGTTTCTCAGCCTGCATATAATTTTGCTTTTTCATCTTCATTTCTTCTTTGTAGCATATTTTAGAATTTTGTACTTAATGTGCATAATTAGTTTTGCAAACGTTTGTTGAATGTCTGCTATGTGCATTAGGAGACATTAGGAGGACAGAGTTCCTACTTCCAGAGAACTCACAATCTTATGGAGAAGGCAAATTTATTTTTAAAGTACTTAATAGGAAACATAAATGCAAGAATAGAAGTGTTTACAAGGTAGGGAAGGATTAATTTGAATGGACCTGAGTGGTCTGAGGTTTCATTAAATGGTGTCAGGGAATGCTTCCCTAGTAAGCTGGAATTTGGAGGATAATAGGAATTGATTCTGTGGACAAGAGAGGGTAGACACATTAGCTTCCTGTGTGGTCTTTCGGTTAAATAAAGAGGCACTGAGGAATATATTTCTGTGCTTATAAACTAATAAACTTCTTTAAAAATCAACTTTTAGGATATGAGTTCTTGGTCACCGATGTTTCTCTGGTTCTTTTATTAGCAAGTAGAGCAGATTGCCTGGCTTCTAGATCTCTCATTTTTTTTTAAAACTCCACCCCTACTTTTAAAACAGATTTTGTTTCACACTCATTCAAAGTCTAGGCACATTATTTAGTAGTCAGTTGTGAATTTCATGTTTTTACTATTGTTCTTTATCCACACTGACAGCCTATACATTTTAAACCAGGAATAACTTTCTCTTTGTCCCAAATTAACATTTGCTTTCATAGAGTAGGTACCTTCTATAGAATCATGAGATATGTAACAACTCTATTCAAAAAATAAATCTATAAAAGAAGCAGATGATATAACATTGAGGAGTTATATTTCAAAGAGATGTATTTTGGGGATATTTAGCTATAACAGCTAGGAACCTTTTTTTCTCTTCTTTGTTTATCCTACTCCCTTCACTTTTTTTTTTTTTCAGTTGACTTAGTTAAGAAAGTTTTCTTATTGTCAAAGTAATTGATGAGAATGACCATTAAAATATATATAATAGGAAATGTTCTTGATGAAATATTTTGAGAAATTCCTCTTTGATGTCTAAAAGGAAGAAGAAGAATTTTCGGTTCTTGCCAGCTGCCTGGGACTTCTGCCAACGTTTTACCAAACAGAACATCCATTCATCAGTGCCTCCTGTCTGGATTGGCCAGTTCCAGCGTTTGATATTATAACTCAATGGTGTTTTGAGATAAAATCGTTTACTGAAAGACATGCAGAACAAGGAAAGGTATGTTAAAAGATTTGTACTAACTTGCCATGGTGATGATATGCTAATAGGTAAAAGAATAATGAAGACTTAAATTTCAGGTCGTCTGTTTTGACAGCAATTATTAAACTTGATTAAACTGAAAAAATGGTTTACTTATGTAAATTGTATTTATGAGTATAAAGGCAGAAATATTTCAGCGAACAAAGATAAGGTATTAGTACTTTTAGTTTGTTTGGGGTCAGCTGATTTTTATTGAATATCTTAATCATAGCATTAGACTTGGTCTAAAAGGAGTTCTAAAAGGAATTTAAAGTAGACAAGGAATGTTTTTGTTTGAAGAACTGGCTTTTATTTTTAAAACAAATTGGACTAGCAGATCTAAAAGGTAATGTCTTCAACTTTAAAATTTGTTGGCCCAGTGCTACTGGCTCAGCTAGTTAAAGGGTTTGTATTGAAGATGAGTAGATTGGAGAGAACAGTGAGTGGCTGTGTAGGCCATGATTGGAGGCTCAGAATTTCTTCTATATCTAGAGCTACAGTTTTTGAAAAATTGGATAATGTCATGAAAGTAGTATTTTGGGGAGGTAATCCTGGTATCTTTTTAGTGGGTAAATTAAGGATTAAGGGAAGTCAGAAAATATTTTGGTGATGAAAATCTAGATTTCTGATTGCAAATCTTGAAAATCAACTAATGTAAGAGACATTTGAGAAAAAAAAATAGGAATATAAAGGAAAGGGAAATTCAAGAACTAATTAAACTTTGCATATTACATATACAAATATCTTCCTGTCCAGTAATTTCTTTATTCACAGAACATAGCAATAATTTGACATCATACTTTGATGTCTGAAAACCTATGCAGAGTGACACGGACTAACTGATGGGTATGATTGTAGAACCAGGGCAGGGAAAAAAAAAGTGATAAGCACACTCAAAGTTTTTTTGTCTTCATATGAGCCATAGGTTAAAATCAAGCCTACATTTTAGATAGATTATTATTGTTATGTATGCTGATGGAAAATAATAATTTATTGTTTTAAAATATTTAATCTTTTTATATAATTAGGTGATAATTATTTGTTTTAGGGGCAGTGTAGTAGACATTTATTTATTAATTTATGCTAGTGCAGAATTTTTGCCAGTTATGTAAGTGCACTGCCATTTGACCTGCATCCCCACTTGTGTTCCTGCTCCACTCTTGTGTTCCTAACCCTGATGCTGACCCTGTGGCAGCCAGATTCTCTTTCCCAGGAGTTTTAAATCTGTATAGAGAGACCTAGCATGGTAAATGGTGACAGGAGCTGAATAGTCCAACAACACCACCCTTGAACAATTGTCTGTGAATTACTCCTTCTGAATTTTTTTTTTTTTTTTTTTTTTTTTTTTTTTTTTTTTTTTTTTGAGACGGAGTTTCGCTCTTGTTACCCAGGCTGGAGTGCAATGGCGCAATCTCGGCTCACCGCAACCTCCGCCTCCTGGGTTCAGGCAATTCTCCTGCCTCAACCTCCTGAGTAGCTGGGATTACAGGCACGCGCCACCATGCCCGGCTAATTTTTTGTAGCTTTAGTAGAGACGGGGTTTCACCGTGTTGACCAGGATGGTCTCGATCTCTTGACCTCGTGATCCACCCGCCTCCGCCTCCCAAAGTGCTGGGATTACAGGCGTGAGCCACCGCGCCCGGCTCCTTCTGAATTTTTATATCAGTTAAGATTATTTGTTTCGAAACAACAAAATCCAGTTCTGATTTAAAATAAGGAAAACCAAAGCAAACTGACCAAAAAAACAAAAAAAAAACTACAAGATTTATTGGAAGCATACTTGGTAACGTGCAGAATTGAAAAACTTAACTGTCATCCCTTGGGAAGAAGAGAAACCACAAAGATCTCTGTTCTGTTTTCTCTGAAGTGCTGCCACCAGATAACTATGCTTCAACCACTTTCCTTCCTTCCGTTTGTGTGCTCAAGGTTCAGATTCATGGGAGAGAAAATCTGGTTGGCCTAACTGTATAATATGTATGCCCCAGTGGTGGGGCAGGATCATGTTTAAAATATGCATGTTTAAAGTCAAATACAATGAGATGCATTTTCCCTGCATGCTTAGAGATGCTGTTTTTCTTTTAAAGTAATAACAAGTTTAAATGTTTTAGGGTGCTTAATCTAAAAAATTAAATCATATTGTAATTGGAAACTATAATACATTAAAATAGATAATGGTAACTGTCGAACGACTGTTTTAGTCATGTATAAAATAGAAGTGAGAGGAATGTTAATAAAGAAAATAAACCATATTTTTGGAGGCAGGTTTTTCTTTCTATAAAAATACCTTTAAAAATACGTATTGTGTTAGTGACTTAAATACTAAGACTAATGAATATTTTTGGATAATGTTTTAGGCCTTGCTTATCCAAGAGTCAAAATGGAAATTACCACACCTACTGCAGTTGCCCGAGAATTATAACACCATTTTTCAGTACTACCACAGAAAAACATGTAGTGTCTGCACCAAGGTTCCTAAAGATCCTGCTGTTTGCCTTGTTTGTGGTACTTTTGTATGCCTGAAGGGATCTTGCTGCAAGCAACAAAGTTACTGTGAATGTGTGTTGGTAAGCAATAGTAGATAATATAAAATTTATGAAAACATAGATCTCATATCACAAGGAAAATATGGTCAAGCCACTCTTCATATTTAACTACTCTTTGAATTAAGTATATAATACATATAGGCATTGTGTATGTTTTTTAATCTAGTAGAAGGGTAAAAAAAAAGAAAGTCTCTGAGGCTTTAAGTGAGTAAATCCTTCCTTAAGTACAGTTCTAGTTCTCCTTTCACCTCCTGTCCTTTAATGGTATATACTTTGGAATGTGCTATGAAACAAAAGTCATCTGTGCTGTTGGAGATACTAGACTCTATTAGGTTGGCTCTTAACTGCTTTACTCTAGATATTCCTTGCCCAAATTCCTCCTAATGTATTAATAATAAAGTGTTACGAATGGAGTTATAAGTTTAACTGAGATGAAATCTTCCTAAATATTTTTAAATCACTGTATTATTTAGAAGGCATTTAATTAAGATATTCTTGATTTTATTATAAAACCTGTTTGATTATGAAGTTCAATAACATATTTTAAATTTTTTAGCATTCTCAGAACTGTGGTGCAGGAACAGGTATTTTCCTTTTGATCAATGCATCGGTAATTATCATCATTCGAGGTCACCGCTTCTGCCTCTGGGGTTCCGTGTACTTGGATGCTCATGGAGAGGAAGACCGGGATCTTAGGTTAGATGTGCATGGATATATCCCAAGTATTTTTATTGGAATTTGGTCAGTAAAAAACAATATACTATTCCTGACTTTGTAATTACAATTTTTTTAATATTAAGAAATTCTGAAAGTCATTAATTTAGAGCTATTATAGCTTTTGAGATATTGTCCCTATCAATATGTTGAGGAAACATGAAATAAACCAAATTACCATGTGAGGTTTTTGCCATAAATAATCTATTGGTCAAGCACAACTCACACCTGTAATCTCAGCACTTTGAGAGACTGAGGCAGGAGGATTGCTTGAGCCCAGGAGTTTGAGAGCAGCCAAGGCAACATAGTGAGACCTCATCTCTACAGAAAAATAAAAATAAAGAAGCCAAGTGTGTTGGCATACACCTGTGGTCCCAGCAACTTGGGAGGAGGTGGAAGGATGGCTTGAGCCCGGCCTGTGGAGACTGCAGTGAGCTGTGATCGTGCCATTGCACACCAGCGTGGGCAACAGAGAAAGACTGTCTCAAAAAAGAAGAATCTAGTAAAAAAAGAAATGTTGCTGGGTGTGTTGGCTCACACCTGTAATCCCAACATTTTGGGAGGCCAAGGTGGGAGGATCACTTGAGGTCAGGAGTTCAAGACCAGGCTGGCCAATATGGTGAAACCTGTCTCTACTAAAAATACAAAAAGTAGGCAGGTGTGGTGGTGGGCACCTATAATCTCAGCTACTCAGGAGGCTGAGGCAGGAGAATCGCTTGAACCCAGGAGGTGGTGGTTGCAGTGAGCCGAGATAACCCCACTGCGAGAGACTGTCTCAAGAAAAAAAAAAAAAGAAAGAAAGAAAAAAATTCATGTGAAATCTTCCTTGTAGGGTACTAATTCCTTTTTTTTTTTTCTTTTTATTCTAGGCGAGGCAAACCTCTCTACATTTGTAAGGAAAGATACAAAGTTCTTGAGCAACAGTGGATTTCTCATACTTTTGATCACATCAATAAAAGATGGGGTCCACATTACAATGCGCTGTGACTCTCCACCTCAGCAATGCATTGTATCATCATTTCGTTACAACTTTATTTTTCAACGATAAGCTTTAACTTAATTTGGGAGATTAACGCTTTTGCTGAGGGAGAAAAAGAAAACATACATTATGAAGCCTTCCCAAAATTAGGTGCTTGGTAATCACGTTAATGGTATAATGATTTTTTTTTAATATCTGGAGAACATTAATAAGTTAAATTATTCTTTAGTGGTCATTTTTTTTCAGTGCACAATTAATAAGCACAACTTGTTCACAAAATCACTCAGAAATGATTCTCCCAACAATGCATATCAGCTATTCATTGATACTTAGAGTGGGTGTGATTTATTTGACATTTTACTGCTTCTTTCTGTGTGTTTTAATTTGCATCTGCTAAGCATAACGCATCTTTTTTCCTCTGCCATTCTTGTGTTGATTTGAGAATTTTGCTGTATGTAATTAGAAAAAAATGTAAAACATGATTTATGTGAAATATTGTATAGTAAAAGTTGGTCTAATAGTAGAACTTTAAAATTTTTTCCTATTGTGAGGAGTCTGTTAAAAGTTTAAGGCTTTGCTGAAAACTTAATTCATTCTCAGGAATTTCATAAATCTTCTCCCCAGGTAAATAATTGAAATAGCTGTAAAATAAGTAGATAGCTGCTGTTAATATAATACAGTATATTTTGGGGGGCATATGTGTGGTTGGGGGGGTCCTTAAAAATCAAAATTTGCCATTTCAGTTGGATGAATTGCTAGAGGTAATAACAAATTTTACTATAAAATCAAAAGGTTTAAGAATATACACCTGGCAGATGTTGATTCCATGCATGCCCACCTTTTATTATCAAACAAAACTCTGTTTATGTGATCATATTAGAAATGCTCAGACTGCCCCAGAAATGAACCATAAGTTTTGGAATTTCCTTTCAGCTCAAGAGGTTCCGCTATATTGTATTTGTGCAGTGTAATCACTGCTATTTCTGCTTGGTTTCCTAAAAGGAAAAAAAAAGGGCACAGTGGCGATGACCCTGATGAATGGGCCATGCTTCTGTATTCTTCTTAGAAACTGCTGTGAAAAGCAATTTATGTTTGCAGGTTTTTAAAATTAGTAAAAATGGGAATGATTGAGCTAAAACCCACTCTGAGAAGGAAGATTACTGAAAAGCATGTGACATATTGCTACAAAGATTTTTTTTTTCCCTAAATGATTCAGTAATTGAATGATTATTTCATATATAGTGCTATCAAGCAATCCCTGGTACTTTGGACTTCCATGGCTTGTTATATAAAATTACATTTTTACATGTAAAAATAAACTAAACAAATCTAATGGTAAAGTATAAAAATAATGTCAGATCCGTGTTCTAAAAAATTTTTGTGATGACATGACATTACAAGAGTATAAAAATGGACATTAAATAATGGCCTTGCATTAAAATATGGAAAGCAGAACAGTACATATTTAAATGTATTCAAAAAGTCAAAAAATTACCTATAGTTCTACAATAAAATACATGGAAATAGCTTGCTATTTTTATATACATTTCCCAAATATTAAGATAACTTTCTGTAAGACTCAAATGATTCTGTTTGACTAAATAGCTGTCCTTTCCAACACATTGCTACTTTTTTAAATACTGTATCATAAGTTCAGCCTGTCATACTTTTTGCATTGATCATTATGAATACCAGACCATTTGTAAGTGTGGTTGAAGAGCAAAATGCTAATTTACATCTCTAGAAAATACTGTTACAGGATTCATGAACTTGAATAATTCTACAGTTTGAAACTCTGATGCTATATATACATGGTATAATGTATTCAGACTTTGATTACTACTTATTTAAAATGGAATGTTTTATGGTTGTGCATATGGATGTGAAGTGAAAATATTAGCCTTAACTTTAAAATTTGGGTATTTGATAGTGTTTATTTTGATATTGGTGAATTAGTCACCAGTAAATTTTAAAAAAGCACTTGGTTGAAAATTGTACTTGAATACCTACATGCATGCTGCTAAACTAGAACTTTAATTTTTCCCCCATAACTTTTATAAGTCCCATTTATAAAGCCACTTTTAAAAATAACAGGTCCAAGTTAGAGTGATGTGTGTATATTATTCAAAAAAAATGTACTGGTGTGATATCTTGTATGAATGATCATTTAAATACAGTACATTACTGTAGAAGCTAAATTGATCTTTATAGTTAACAGAAATTACAAAACTAGGAATAATCAACATTGTAAGATATGTTAATAAAAACCTGCTGTCATTTGGTTTGTGAAAGGTCCTTAAATGTTTAATGCTTACATGTTTTTCTTTTTTTTCCCCAAAGATATTGACAGTAGTATATGTGAGTGAGCATGGCTGAAAAGATCAAAGCATAACATAATTAGTAGTTGCTTTAGGGTGGAGTAAGTGTAAAGGGTTTTCTTTGCCTTTTTTCCTTTATTTGCTGAGCTAGTTCTTGTTTCTTCAGTCTTTGTCTCATACTCAATGCACAGCCTTTGCTAAGTGTATGTGTTTGGTAGGGGGAGAAGGAAATGGGTATGTAGATCTGAGGAATGCAGCTACTGTGGTCTCTGTTCTTTCCTGAAAATTCCAAGCTGGACTTCAGAGATATTTAGTGCTTTATAAGAATGTTTACTTTGAGTGGTTTGTGTTCTTGTTTGAATTGACAGTCCTCACTCCTACCTCTCCATCCTGAAGCTCACCAGCCATTTAGCAGATAACAGTCCATTTCTCTTCTCAGACCATTCTCTGTTTTATGTATTCTGATATTTACTGATTTCTGTGACTTAGAAAAGATGCTGACTAAAAGCACTGAAGGCTTAGAGGAAACAGCAGTATGGGAGGAGATGTGGCCTAAGACTCTATTATCTCCAGGATTGTAATTGCTAACTCTCAAATGGCTGTTGATGGCTTATATTTGAGATCATTTTTGGGGTTGGGGGGACACAACGCATGGTTTTAACCACTAGAATCAAATCACCAAGGCAAGATGCATTCATTGGTGAGGATGTCTGATAACTGATGATTGTGGAAGAGCAGATGACTTATGACTGTGTCTCAGTCCCATTCACAGTACATAGTTCTTTCCTCTGCTTTTTGACCTGGCTGGATGATATCAAGCACTGCCTAGTTCACCAGGGATGAGCTGGAGTGAGCAAAATGGCAACATGATCACTTCTCTGTGACACTTCAAGCTCCCTATTAATTAGGTACATCAGGTATGGAAGAGCTATATGACCTGCCATCTTAGCGTACAGTAATCTATAAGCAGTGGAGTGAATGTGACTCCAGCTGATGCAACACAATGAAAACACACAATGGGACCTTGTGTGGAGCTTCCTTTGTGCAAGTTAAATTAATGTAAGATGTAACAGTACCAAAATCGGTGAGGTCGAGCCCAAGCGCAGACCAGGGGGAGGGGAACAGGAAGATTTGAAAACCATTCAGGAGGGTGTCTCAGTAGCCAGAGGAGAGATGAGAATGGCGTGTACTAGGGCAGTGACAGAAACCACTTATGTTCTGGCCTGATGGTTGGTTGTGTTATTTAATGAGTTAGAAAACAGAAGGATCCAGGTATAAAGTTGAATGTGATGCATACAGATTTTGACCTGTTGAAAGTGAGGCTTTTGTGAGTCATCCAGATGGGTATGTGATAGTTGATGGGTTTGGAGGGTAGGTAGATGCTCAGTGGTGTCATCGCCAGCAAACTGTAACTGAAGCCATGGGAATGGATCTCATCCAGAGAGAAGAAAGCCTATGGAAATACCCTTAATACTATCTTCATATAGAGGGCAAGCAGAAGATAGTTAGCCTAAGGCCAACATTGTTGAGAGACGCAGATAGGAAGGGGAAAATTTGGAATGTGAAATCCTAGAAGGAATGATGGTTTTTTAAAAAAGAAACTAGTCAACAAGTGTCAAGTCCTGTGGAGAGGTTAAGATAAGAGCCAAAAAGGTATTCATTGGATTTTGTGACGAAGGAAGTAATTGATACCCTTGATGAGGATAGTTTTGGTGAAGCCAGAACATAGCTTTTGGAGGTTACAGAGTAGAAACTTTGACAATAAAGTGGAGGAGTAGAACACAATTTTCTGACTCTTCCCTGGCACAGTCAGGACTGCTGCGGGTCACCTGGACATGTTTTTACCAGAACCTACTTCTAAGTAGTTGTTTCATTTATTCCAATAGTGTTATTTACCATCTGAGTGTAAGGCTGGAAGTCATCAGACCTGAATTTGAGTTACTTCTCCTTACATGAGTATATTAAATAGAAATGTGTCCTGTTTCAGACAGCAGAAAACTTGACTAAGAAATGATCTGAAGAAGTAAGGAGTTGATTAGTTTCAGGCAAAAGAAAGTCTGAGGCAGATAAACGAGGAAGGGGCTGCTGCTCAAGGGAATCAATGTGGATCTCAGCTTCTCCTATTTTCCTTTTCCATACCATTGGATTATAGGTTTTATCCTCATGGCTGCAAGATGGCTGCTAATCTCCAGGCTGCTATGAGGATGAAAGCAAGGTAGTAGTTAACCTCGTTTTCCAGGCAGGATTAAGGCAAAAGGGCCAAAAGCCTTTTCCTAAGCCTTTATCCTTTGTTCAACAAGAGAAGCCCTTTTCTGGTGCACTTGTACATACATCTCATTAGTCAGTAATGGTAGGTGGACACTACAGAATGCCAAGAAATCTGGGAAGGTGAGTATTTTAGCTTGTGAGTCTCTGCTAGAGGAATACAAAGGCAAAAGGGATTATGAGTGGCTTTTTGGTGGCTAATTCAGTATCTGCCACACTTTGGTTTTTTATCTGTGCAATGGAAACAATAGCTAATATGACACTTTTGTTTCCACTAATGGCAAAGTGATTCAGACTGTATTACCTATTGATGTGTTTCAGATTACTGTAAAACATAATGTGTGAAACAGTACACATTATATCACAGTTTCTGTGGATCAGGAATCCAGGAGCAGCTTAGCTGGGTGGTTCTGGCCCAGAGTCTTTTATAAGACTAAATTAAGGTGTTATCGATGACAGCAGTCATCAGAGCTATGATCGGGGCTGGAGAATCTGTTTCTAAACTCATTCATATGGCTGTTAGCCAGAGACTTCAGTTTCTTGCCATGTGGGCCTCTTCATGGGGCTGCTAACAACGCAGAGGCTGATTTTCCACGGAAGAAGTGACCCAAGAGAGGGAGACATAGAACACACAAAAAAAGGAGGCCTGCAAGGAAAGCCCAGGACTGTTTTGTCACCTAATCTTAGAAGTGGTATTTACTTCTGCCAAATATGCCAAACCCGAGACCGTGTAGGAGGTTACAAAGAGTCTAAATACTGGGAGAAGGAGGGATCATTAGGGGCCCACCTTACTGAAGAAAAAATGCCAAACGAGTGGGCGAAAGTTGAACCAGGATTTGCATAGTTTCATGGTATGTCCCTCAAGGTATGTATGAATTACAAAGGGAAAGATTGTAGTTTTACAGAAGCATGATAGATACTTTAACCAAGTGATTAAAGTTCATTATTACCAGTAAAGACTTAATAAACCCCTAAATATGATTCACTGAGAAGTTATATAGGATCATTACTGCAATATAACTGCAAATGTTACGTAACTTCATTCTAATCATGTAAAAACATAAGACAAAGTCAACTTAAGGACCTTCTACAAAATAACTTACGAGTACTCTTTGAAAGTGTCAAAATGAAAGAAGAGGAAAAATCAAAGAATTGTTACAGACTGTAGGGGACTAAGGAGAAATAACTAAATGCAATGTGAAATACTGGGCAAAGTCCTGACACCAAAAATAGATAATAGTGAGAAAACACAAAATCCAAATAAGGTCTGTTATTTAGTTAATGATATTTAATGTTAATTTCTGATTTTGATGATTGTGCTATGGTTATGTGAATTGTTAGGGGAAGCATAGTCAAGGATGTACAGACACTCTTGTCTATTCATGTGACTGTTCTGTATATCTAAAATTTATTCAAAAATGGGAAGTTTTTTTTTTTTTTGAAAGAGCGATAATCTAAGAAAGCTTTCCTCAAATAAAAAGACCTGAGTTCCTATTGAAAGAGCCCACAGAGTACTAGGAAAATTAGTCATCAATAGTAAACTTCAAGTCATAGCATAGAAAAACTATTTGACTATGAAGACAACTTCCCAAGGTTTATAGAGAGAATTAGTTGACTGGGTGTTAGACTTTTCACAAGCAAGTGCAAAGCAAGGCAAAATTGAACAGAATTTTCAGGAAAACCTCAAGGAAAGAAAGTGTAAGCCAATAATTTTATGTAAGGTCTTGCCGTCCTTCAAGTATCAGACCATAGAAAAATAGTTTAAAGCATGCCTATGTCAGTCTAGTAGAAATCTACTAAAAGATTGGCTTCATTTAACCTCAAGTAGGCTGGAGGACACTTCAACAAGATGGGTGAAATAGAGGTATTAATTGTACTCCAGCTCTAGAACAAACTCAAATCTTGGTCACAGACTGCTAATATTTTCCAGTGCCTGGAGAGACATCCCCTCTGGAGAATGATGACATCATTCTAATTCTCAAACTATTTCTGTAACTGTTTCAGGTAAAGTAAATGAATGTGATGGGATAATACACAAAAGCCAGAATCAACAGAAAAATAATAGAAACAGATCACAGAGACTGCAATTATTAAAATTACTTGACTCATGTAATTTTTTATTTGAAAAAAATTTAGAGATTGTAGTCCTGAAAAAATAACCAAAAACCTAAATGGTGCTGTTTATCAGATGAGATACAGCTAAATAAAGACTTAGTGAACTGTGTTATAATTAGAAGGACACATACAGAATAGACCACAGAGACTAAAAGATGGAAAAGGGGAAAGAGGTAAAATACATAGAGCACATTGTGAAAACACCAAATATACTTGTAATTGAAGCCCCAGGAAGGGAGAGGAGAGAGAATATGGCAGAGACAATATTGGAAGAGATAATAGCTGATAATTTTTCAGAAGTGTTGAATGACATTGAACCATAAATTCAGGAAGTTCAAAAGATCACAAATAGGATAAATGGAGAAGAATCTAAACCTAGAGAAATAATAGTGAAACTGCAATAAATAAGTATCTTAAAAACTGCTCAGTGGAAAAAGGATGGATTACCTCAAAAGGTTTCTGTCTTCTTAATAGTACCATTGGAAATGAGAGCAATAGAAAAATATTCTCAAAATGTGGAAAGAAAATAACCAAGATCCTCTTCACAACAAATACTCTTCAAAAATGAGAACGAAATAAAGACATTAAAAATG